ATACGTAAGAGAGAGAGAGAGAGAGAGAGAGAGAGGGAGAGAGAGAGAGAGAGAGAGAGAGAAGAGAGAAGGAGGGAAAGTGAGAAATCCCCTCAGGGGAGATGGCCACACTGCAAAGTCTTCTCCATTATCCTCTTGGGGTTTTGGGCATGCACACACAAGCCCAGTGTATTTGTCAAGCTGCCAAGTCTAGGACTCGAACTAGGCAGTCAGCCATGTGGGATTCAGCCATCTTAACCACCATGCCACCGACTAGCCCAAGAGATATCTTTTTTATTTTTTTTTCTTTAGAGATATTTTGACTGTACGCTATAGGGCATGTACAGTCCCCAGAGAGAGAGAGAAATGGAGAACTCACCTCTCAGAGAGGATGGCCGTGCTGCAATCTCTTTTCCTCCATTCTCTCTTGGGATTTTGGGCACGCATGTACACAGGCCCGGCATGAGTTTTAAGCTGCTGGGTCCAGGACTTGAACCACAGTTGACTATGTGGGAGTCTAGTGACCAAAAGATGGCTTTAGTAGTGGCAATTTTATTCACCAAGGCACACAGGATCTGGCATTTGTCATCTTGACCACTGTGCAGAGTGGTCAACCCCACGAAGCCAGGGTTGGAGATTCAGGAAGGCCCCAGGCTGGAGATTTCATCTTCACTGTGTCTTAAGTCTGCTCTTATCGTTTTATTTCCAGAAGAGGCCCTCCCCCTGGCACTGGCCGTGTCTGCATTTGTTGGCTTCGTGCTGATCCTCGTGGTCGTGCCGCTCTCCATCTGGAAAATGGGCCGGCTGTTCCGGTACTCCTGCTGCCCGGTGGTGGGCCTCCCGGACACCTTGGTAATAGTGCTCCTACTTCCTTCAAGTGTGGTGCTGTCTAGACTGGCCATATAGGCGGGGCCTTAGCTGGGTGTTGTCACATGCATTTGCACAGAGAGGAGAGATATGCAGTTACAGGACTTCTCATCAGAGGAGCTGGGAGAGACCTGTCTTCTCCAGGGACTGGTGGCCTCCCTGAGGTCCTGGCAGGCCACCTAGGCTTTCTCCTGGGACCTGACACAGCCAGGAGAGCAGACATCATGGCCACCCAGCATGCAGGGCATCTCAGGAGCGTGCACACTCACGCCCTCTGAACCAGCCTGTGACTCCCTTGGCCCCCTCCCACAATTTAAATAGTAACCGTGTCCAGTCACATGTGCCAACGTATGTGTTCAGTTCACATGCCAAGAGCCTCATTGGTCCTCAGGGAAAAGGCTTGTGTGTGGCGGTGAAGGCGTGTGCGGGGCTCTGCCTTGGGTGGGGTGGGTGAGGAGCCATCCAGACATGCACAGTGACTCCCGAGGTGGGGCCCTGCTGCTCCGATCCCCCCAACACACCCGGAACCTTAACTTACTCCTAAGGACGCTGGGCCACATTCTAGGTGTCCAGAGCAGGAAGAGGCCCCATGTGGCCCTGCTAGGGTGGCCTCCAGCAACTCCCCACTGTCCACCTAGCAGCGTCCTCGGATGCCCCCACCTGCCCGTGCCTGGACTTCAGCCACACAAAGCAGCACAGCAAGGAAAAGCAAGAGCCACAAGCAAAACCAAGCCCCTAAATGCCCCGTCACCCCATGATTTCTCAGTTCTGGGAGCAGGGACTGGCAGGGA